TTTAAAAAACCAAAAGGGAATGGAGGGAAAATTCACAAGACCGCTACAAATGTTAAAAGTGAGTGAGATGAAGCCCTTGCCAAAGAACCTATAAAAAATAATGAAAGTGATCTCAGCATCATTCTTATGAGAAATCAGGGTGAAAGGGTCTTTCACTGAAAGTCCTGAGGATGGCTGAGATGTTCAAGGCAGGACATAGGGTTGGCAGAATTTGCAGTAAGTATCTGGTACTTCCTGTTACAAATATATACAATTGGCATTTGGGATCCACTTCTTACACAACTTTAAAGGATTTAGGTGAGATAGGGCTGTACTTACTTTAGTCTGCCTATGAAGTCAAAAGAAGGAGAGATGGGGTCATTTCCAGAAGACAGATGAGCTCTCAGGTAAGATGCATAGCAATTTTCAGTAACTACACAAAAATACTACAGTGCCTCAAGTCCTAATTTATACATGTGGGTTTTTAGGTAGATGGGGTAAACCAGAGCCTACCACCCAGTCCTCTTTGATTTCTTCACTCAGATCAATGGGAGACCTCACTGGAACGGATCCTCTGGAGGATCAATAGTTAAATAATTTTCTTTCCAACAAGGAGGATATTTTAAAAACAGGCCTTCACAGAAAGCAAGCTCAAGTGAAACAGGGATATCTATAAACAGAGGCATCAACCTACAGCTACACAAAGCCACTGAACAGATTCCCTTTGAATTAAAAAAATCATTAAATTAAAGCCAGCGAGTATCAATTAAACTGCCTTAGAGACTACTGATGATAACTGGGTCTTCACACCTAGAGAAAAGTAAAGTGCATAAGACATTACAACCCTTCTGTAGCTTCATGATCAAACCCTGGCCTACTTTGACACAAAGCCAATTGCCTGGGCAGACCGCAGATAGGGTTGCTTTCCTGGGAAGGATTGCTGTTCTCAGAGAATTAAATGGATGTGAGAATGGCCTTGTACAAGGTAAACTGAGACTCCATTGTTGCCCTAAAGATACTGAATAATCAGATCCTTTGAAGTGTAAAAACCAGGAAGATTTTCACAACTGATACCTTTTTCTTGGTGTCTTTTGAAAATTGTCACAGTTCTTTCTCAAGAATGTTTGGGATGCCTGAGAAAAGTGAGTGCAGCGGCTTCAGGTTTGCAAATAGCATGTTATATACTACTGCAAAAAGGCTTTATGAACTTAAATGTTACAATCACATAAAAGGAACAAAGGCCTACCTTTATCCTTATCTTAGATCAGAAAGGAAATACAAACAAGGCCAAGAACATGTATTTAAGCACACAAATCTGTAGAAGAGTCAGGTGCAGCTCTCAGACCACCCCATACTTGGTCTCCCCCTTACCTGCAAGATCATCCATCAAATTTGCCAGACTATTTTCTTTTCTTGTTCATTACTAATCAGATAACTTTCCTGACTGATATTTAGACAAATTTTTTCATGTTTACATTGCAACTTTCTCATTCTAATTGTTAAGCCGGTACACTGAGCCAAAATAGGTGCAGCATTCTTTTAAACAATCCCTTCTGTATTAGAGGCCATTTACAGTTCACAGTCTTTGTTTTCAGCTTGAGATTCTAGATACCAGACTAGATTGGTATCGATACAGCACACCATAGATAACACTTGAGCTCCAATTCCACAGCCAGGGGATCCACTCAGTGGAAAAGTTTGTAAAAGAACAGTGCCTCTCCCCAGATAAAAATCCAGAGCACACCTTTAATTTTCTTTTCCTCCTTGCAAACACCAATAATTGGTAACAAAAGCCAAACAAAAATTTAGCTAAACTACGTCAAAAGTAGTGTTGGGAACTGACCTTTCCAAGCCACAAACCAATAGGCAAGTCAGAGTAATGGCAACCCAGGCTCAGAGCACACCAATGACATGATAAAGCGTCTTAGGACTTGTTCACCTGACACAAGGCAGTATCTCCGGCAAATATTTATTTTAGCAATATGGGACAGTACTTCCTGGTATGTTGCCTCAGAACTGTTCAGTGAGTGGGAGTACCATCCTCGCATGATAAGAAAAGAATGGCTACAGGCTGAAACCAGCTGAGCCCTGGCCCAACTGGCTCAGCTGAATGCTGGTTCTCCTGGGGTTACCCTATTGAAGTGGATGCTGGTGTAAAGAATTCACACAAAAGGAAGAAACAGTACTTGGAGACATGCCACTGATTTTTCTTGAGTTATGCCAGGGAAATGTTTGGCTTGCAGAGACTAGTCACTAACTGGAAGAGATGGCCTGGGGCTACAGATGAGGGCTTGACCATGCACACGTGAGAAGCAGTCACACAACAGTGGCAGCAAGATCATGGTCAAGTAAAGTGTTCACAGGGAAGCTTCTCCTGGAAGAACTGCTTGTGTTCAACTTTGCCAGTTCTCATGGGGAGCTTGTGACAACAACCTAAAGAAGGACACACAGACTTTAGCTGCAGTCCAGCTTGCTCTGTGCAAGCAGCAATGCTGCTGCATGCAGAGGCAGAGCCACTCAGCAAGAAGGGCCAGCCTTGCAAGTGGGTCATTATATCTATTTGCTCCCAGTGTAATGCTTTCCCAAGATCTTCAGCTTTCCGACTGATTTTTGTTTCTGCACATTTGTGGGTGGGTGGCAGCGGGGAGGTGTTTGACCCACTGACTGTCTCTGAGTTGAGGAAGGTGAAAGTTCTCATTAAATAGGCTTTGCCTTGCTGGCTGCATCTCAGCTAAATAGGACTCTGCACCTGCAAACAGAGGACCAATGAGTTCACTTTAATACCCCACCATCGGAGCTGTAAATAACATTGCACAGGCCAGTTAGATGCTGGACTGAGTGAGTAAAAGAAGCGCCAGGTGTAACTGGGAATGGAGAAGAAGCATGTGAGGTTTCAAATGATCCACTGTTCAAAAGCACTCTGGAGATGGGAATATGCCTTTGGTTCCAGCATTTCACTTGCCTGAAAAGCAAAATGCGTGCCAAAAAAGAACAGGAAAGTATACCTTTAAATCAATGCCATTCTCAGTTTCTGTATAAAGTCTCATCATCACTAAAACACACAGGAGAACAGAAATCTAAGTACACCTGGTAAGATTAGATTGTGTTTTATGCCCTTCTCCCACCTGAAGATAATGCAGAGATGGGAAAGATTTCTGATCATGTTCTTGCTAAGCCATCTTGCTGAGAATGATTGATATGCAGGGTTTACATGAGTGTGTATCTGACTACTTACAGAGTCTGATGAGATAAAAGCACTCAAGAATGATTTCTTCCCCCTCAGGGAAAGGCAAGGAGGAAAGAAAAGAATGTCCTTTTTTGCTGCTGTTCTTTCCATTGTAAAAGCATGCATCCACTTGATTTGTATCAGTAAGAATGTTTTCTGGGCTAATGTGAAATTTATACATGAGCCTTACTGTCAAGCAATTGCAACACGTGCCTTCCAAGGGAGTTGCATTGCACTGACAGGTAACTCAATTATTTGGAGATTCCTATAATTTATAATCAAGCAAACGGTCCACTGACTAGTGCAGAAGCTGGAAATGGGAGAGTTAGGTTCAGTTCAATGATCCTTATGGGTACCTTGCAACTTGAGGTGGTCTATGATTCTATGATTCATTACTTCAGCACAAACACCTTGTTGGATTTTGTTGCCCATGTTTCCCAAAGATACCTGCAGTGCTCCTATTCCCACTGTGATCATTAGGTACACCCAGCATCTCTTTTGTGGCTTATAAGGAAACAGAATAAAAACAAAGGATTAAATTCTCTTCTTCTGACTTCAGCTGTCTAAGCCAGCTACCCTGGCTCTCAAAATAGCCAGTGCTGAGAAACTGATAACTTCCCAAGGGCTCTTACATCAGTCTGAGACAAATCATTCTGGAAAGGGGCTGGGGAATGGGTTAGTTAAAACAATCTGAGCTGAATCCTGCAGAGGCATAACACGGACTAACTACCATATTGCATTACAGTGAAGACCCAATAAGCATGGGACTCACAGGTGAGAGGAGAGAAAAACATGTACCATTCAACTCCTACGCCTATTCAAAGTCAAGGATTCCCACAATTTTAAGGCCAGTAACACCATAATGAAACAGTACACATGAAAATAACCTGACGCCAGCTGAAATGATTTATTATGAAAAAGAATTAAATTAAAGATTACTTGGCACTCAATAGCTGCAGCATTTCAAAATGGAAAGCTAAAGGTTAATGCACTTCATACCTGTTTGGTCAGTTCAAAAGGATTCCCTTCAAAACAATTCCCAAAAGCCCTCACACAGCAGGCTGCAGGATACTGCACTCTAAGGAAGTCACAGTCCTCAGTTCTCTTTCAGGTCACAAAAGACCAAATTGCTCAAGTAGCAGAAGCATCTGCCTTCCTTGCGTACTCTGAAGGTATTGTTGGACCATTTTGGTCCCTGTCCACATAAGATTCTCACCAGTAGCACTGGACATGCTAGCTGGGAGTCAATCATTTATAACACAAATCATAGTCGTGCAACCAGTAGTGAGACTGAACATCAGTCTCTCACCTCACACACAGCTCAGAGTTTGATGTTGACAAATAATAAAAAACACTAGTGAGATAAGGACTCACAATAAGGGTGCAAATATAGTAATTTTGTAGCGTATATGTAAAACACGTTTTTACACTCCTGAAGTAGTGCTCACTGTGCAGAAGGGAAAAAGCACTTTGCTTTCCTTCAGTGACCCAGAGTCACAGCAAAAGTAGGTTCAGGACCACTGGGGAGAAGAATACAAATGCGCCTCTGAGCTGAGTCCTGCCTCTACGACTGAACCACAGCTGTGGAAGTGATTGCTGTTTCCCTTCTAATGGAAATGAAGTGATGCGTGTGGTTAAGGTTTTACAATGTGCACTTTCTTCAGGCAGGACTTTTGAAAGGCACCAACTGTCTCTAGAGTGTCTTGTAATAACCTTGGTTTATACACCACTATGGGATTAAAGACATTAGCCACCTTGCCCTGTTAGCAGCATCACTGAAACAGGAGAACAAGTCCTCTTTGAAATGCAGTTTATTCTACAAACATTTAGAGTAAAATCTTTAGCTAATTTCCATAATTGCATATAATACTAGAAGGAAAAAGCACAAGAGAGAAGTATGGTCATTTGAAGGTTACTCACAGCTGTTTTCTAAACTACTCACTTGCTAGGGAAGCACTAAATGGGAGCTGAAATGTTTCCTTTAGTTTATGCTCATGCTCTCCTCTTTGGGCATTTTGTTTCCACACATCCACATTCATCTACATGCACATACGTGAACTGGACTGTCTTATGCTCAGAGCAAACCAGTTCCACCTTCACTTCGTGACTCCTTTTTTCATGGCAGCAAATGCATTTGTGTTCCATTTCACCGGCCTCAAAGGAATACCTATAGAAATGAGATTTGCACATCAGTCTGCTGCCTGTTGTCTTCCCAAACTGATCTGTATTTGCTGCTCCGAATGGAGGTACTTCTAAGGAGCAGAGGAGCAAAATTTCCTATCTATTTTTCTGCTGATTCATAACAGACTTTCCTCAGGTCACTACTAGCCATGCAGGGCCAGATCTTCTGACACCAATGGGAAAAATCCCATAACTTCAGTGGATTTTGGATTAGGCCCATTCTGGCAAGACAGAAAGGAACAATTCATGCAGAGACCAAAGAGGAGGAAAAAACTCCACTAAACACCAGAGCTGTTAAAAAATGACATAAGAACATGTTTAAGAACAGATAGTCAATAAATTTAGCTGATGTCTTTTCAAAGGGACTGATTTTCCTAAGATAAGGCACTCCTGTCACACTAAAGACACTTTGTCACATTGCTAGTGACTGCCATTCTGCATGCCCAGTTTCCCAACCAGGTCCCTTTAAACAGCAGGAAGAAGACAAACAGCTGCATCCCATTAGCGACAAGAACCCAGGAAGACCAGATACAGGGAAGGACAGAGAAAGATTTCCTACTTACACGGAATAGGTACTGCACGTCCCTTCACAAAAGGGCATGGGGACCGGAGCAGCTGACTTACAGTTGTTGTGGATTATATATTGCTCTTTCACACTGCGTTTGCATTTATGTGGCAGGTCGATACCTGTGTAGGAGAACACTTCTGTTAGAATTCTTCAGACTGGGGAGTAAATGTTTTGAAAGCTATCTGCTAGGAAACCAAAGGCAGATCATCCTACTAAAACTTTTTACAGTTCAAATGCATAAACAAAAAAACAAATGAGAGTGCAAAGAGGCACTAATTCAGCAAAGCAATTTCCTGCTGGTCAAGGCACTTTTCTATTTGTGGACTAGGTTAAATGAAGACTTACGTATAAGTTCATGTAAAGATACTATTGAACCAAGACCTAAAGGAGACATGAAGGTTTGGGTTTTTTTAAAATTGCTATAAATGACATTTGTGACTCTATAACAACCTATGATTTCTGGGTGGATGCTACAGAAAAAAGATCCTTTTTTCCATGCAATTTCCAGATGGAAGAATACAGAGCACGTTTTCTACACATTTTCTTATCAAGAGTATAGTTCAAACTAACAGTAGTTCAGTTATTTAAAAATCCAGAAAAGGACGTCAAAGAATTTTAGTGTCCCCACTGGAAGAATGAGGCAGATTTTTAGCCTCAGCTGTGAGTAGATTTTTAACCTTAGCTGTGAGGTACAAAACAGCTGCAAGAACAGTGTTCCAGTATGTAGAAACTGCAGACTCTCAGTGCATGCAGAAACAGGACTACAGGCAGGGGAGAACCTAACAGTATTGGAATAAGGAATCAGCGATTTAGTGCACTCACATGTCTTACAACAGCCATCCGAAGTCACATCAACTGTCCCCTGTATTGAAAGCAAACATAACCAGAACAGTTCAGATGCAAATATTGCTAATCAGCTAGTAGCAACGATGAGAGTTCAGGTATATTCTCTCATCTCTAACCAACACAGATTCCTCATCAGACCTATCTATGTACCAATTATATAAAAAACTGCTTAAAAAAAATCCAGCAAGGAAGGGAATGAATTTTCTTAAAATTATATATCCTCTCTCACAAGCGAGGTAAGATGTCCTGCAACACACACCTGACCTTAGGTCCTATTGAAGCCAGCACAAAAAAACCAGCCCCAGAGAATGACAGCTGCTCCCGGAATTGAACAGCCTGACCTTCACAGAACCTACCCCAAAGCTAATTCAAGTCAATGGCTGTCTTTGTCCCTGCTTTGGTTTTCAGATGTGCTGCAAAGCCCCACAGCACTTCTGAAAGTTACTGGAAACCACTAATTGCTGAAAGCCAGGGCACGAATGGTGCCCCTTGCTCATTCATGTACAACTTCTTTGCTTAGCAATGCACCATGTATCAGAAGACACTGTGTTCATCAGTTCTCCAGGGGTCTATGGTAAGTTACCATTTGCTTGATCTCGATTGCATTTCGTAACACTGGTGTTTCTCAAGTGATGAAAAATCCCACGTTGCTATTGCCCCAATACTCTTCTCTTTCAAGTTCTAGTGCTTATCCCACAACAAGTAAAATGTGCGGGTTGTTTGCAAATAGTTTTGGTTTACTTCCATGGGACACTCCATTCAGGGCTGAAAAAGCACATTTCCTTCAAACAAGGATAATCAGTTCAGAATGATCAAGAATACTGAAGTGGCTCAGTCAAAACAGTAAATAAAACTCCCAGGCCAGCAGCAGGAGTCATTCCAGAAGGCTTTTTTTCCTGGTTCTAAAATACTTACTGGGACACAGTTTGATTCTTCAAATGGTAGGCAGACCTTGACTGTACTAGTCAAGGAAAACTGTCCCGCTGATTCAGTGCATGTATACTGAGTACAGTTATCATATGGAGCTTTATAACTCTTTCCAACCTGAATAAAAACAGGGAAAAAAACCCAACTCAATACAGTATAGCAATAAAAATAGAATAATGCAATAGTAATGCAGTCAATTAATTGGCAGAGGGACTGGGTTGTTCATATCACTCTGAAATTGTTGAGATGTCTGGAACTCACATCTGCAAATTATGTATCAAGCTCACCCACTGCCAGCCTATGCAAAATCCCTTCTGTGGCCACCGAGGTGGAAAGAAAAGCTGGTGGCAGAATGAGCATAGAGGTATGAACAGAAATGCCAGAAGGTAGGTGTGTTAATGTATGTTGAATTAAATATACACAAAAGAAAACTAATTCCTTTAAAGGATTTCAACCGTTTTCTTTTTTAATAGATGTAAAAAACCCAAAAAGTGTGAAAGAGGAGAGAAGTCTTCATAATAGATGTTAATGGATAAATGCAAAGCCTCCTCATGGAAACATAAAAATTGTATATTGGCACAGGAGAAGCTAGCTTGCAAGATAAATTACCAAGGAATAAAAGGATGAAATAGAAAAGATGCAGAACACAAGAGCGACTAGAGAAGCAATAGCACATAAGACAGTAGTCACCGGTTGAGACAGCATCATTAACCGTTCACAGGAGTGGCAGGCTGTGATAAAACCAAAGAGCTAGCCTGAGGCTCAGCCCATGTCTACACAATGCTACACTCACAAGACATGATGTATTGCCTGGGTGTGTTACCAAGTCACACTACAGCAGCTATGCCACTTTTGATTTCTGCCTCAGCAAATTCAGAACTAGTACAGCTATATCAGCTCACTCACACTCCAGGGCAAGATAATGACATTGTTTCCAGATCAGAGCAATATGATGTGAAGCCAGCTCACGTATCTCTGCAAGAGCAGTATTACACAGTGTCACCATCCCCTCCAGATTCTTTCTCTCTGTTGCATGTGAGGAGGAGGGGTGGTAACGTGATTTCCATTCCTGCCAGAGATGCATGATTTTCAAGACAGTGGTGCCTGTGAGATGCACACAGCAGAGAGCAGCTGTATAAACATTTACATTTACTTTGGAAATACGTTTTTAAATCTTCTAGAGGTCTTCCAAGCTTCAAAATGTATGACACTGGTTCAAAAAATGCTGAGGTCTTTTTGATAATTCAGCCTTGTGTGCAGAGCAAGGGAGTGCTTACCTCAATCGTCACATTACCAAATGAAAAATTTGCTACACATGCCACTTGCTGGCACTGGCTGCAGCACTGACCCTCCTTTTCCACATAGCGGAAACCCTGTGGGAATAAAGTTTCCATTTAGCCATGTTACCTGATATCTTGTTCATGAAGCACCTTTGGATCAAAGCCACACTGGCGATGGCAGAGGAAATGAGCCAACCTTCTGGTTTCATTTCTGTTGTCTTTAGAAACTTGTTGGAACCGCTTTAAGCCTGACAATAAAAGCTGATAATTTCTTTCCCTTATTGAATAGTGACTTCTGGGCACTTCAGTTACCATGAAGACCCTGTCATTGGCTATTCTTCTTTGGACTAACACACAAGTCAGGCCGAATAAATTAATTCAATGTATGATTACTTGCACAATCTACCACCAGCATTTGGTCTGATATGATTATCCACAAGAATTGCTGCTGTCAGACATGTGGAGATGATGCACCAGTTATTTCCTCCCCTGTGTTTTAAGTATCCGTTGGTCTCTTGTTGCATGTGGGTGTGGCTGGCTTCAGGATAAAGAATAATGGTTTTATCCATTTTTAGGATTGGTGGTGCGTCTGGCCTTATCTGGGCAAGAATGGAAAAGAAACCACTCTGCTTACATTCAGTAATAGACTGAACAGTTTGTGTGCACTCTCAGCTCACAAGTACTAAGAAGTGTCTGGAAACACATAAAACACTGTCAGTTTCTTTACAAACTTAATTTTTGAGCTGACAAAGGGCAACACCAACAGAACAGCACAAACATCGTCTTTCAGCAGTCAGATTTCTCTTTAACAGGTTTGCAATCGTCCTCCCTCAGGTTATCTTTCCAAGGGTGATCTCTTAAATTTGCCAGAGCAAAAATAACCAGCACCCTAAAAAGGACTTTACAAAAAAATCTAATAGAAGATTATATCCTGCTGTCTTTCTGTGAGGAAGCAGTTATACTATCCCAGTTTTACAGTACATCCCCTAAACAGCCATTGTTCGTGGTCAGGGAGGCTGAGCATGCAGCGCTGACCTGCTGGCAGGTGGTTTGGCATTTCATTGGAACACACTGGATGCGGTTGGTCCGTGTCACAACATCCTGCTCATCTGTGCACACACAGTCCTCGCAAGAGCTTTTAGGCACCATTGCCCCAGGCTGGAAATATAGAGGAGAGAGGAGACAGGCCATGGCAAGAATTCAGTGCATTCTAGAATAAACATACATCCCCTGGACTATCAAAAATGAATGCTTATGCCTGGGATTTATTTTTGGAAGAACTTCCTGAACTTAATACCTCCAGATCTCTAAAACCTCACACTGTCAGTATCATAAAATGAACACAAGGCTGACGCTCCCAAGTGCATCAGTCGTGTTAAATGAGTTATTACGTTATCTCATAAATTCCATGCATCAATTTTCACTCAGTTTGACTTAGTAATTAATCTTACATCCAATTATATCTAAAATTTGTATTCAATCACAATTCTGACTTCTTGACTCTAAAACATAGCTAAGATCTCACTTAGTAAGCAAGCTGCTGGTCTCTAGCATTACCTATTGAGTAGCATTTCTAATCGTACATAAGACTACTGGCAAGGAAAAAATACAGGCCATTCTAATCCTGCTTTTTATGTGAGTGTTGACAATAACAACTTCAGAAAATTCTGACTCGGACAGCATTAACCTGTGGAAGACATGTCTGGAAGAAGACTTACCTTGAATTCAACTCCTTCAGAAACACATACACCTTTTGGTACTGTAAGAAAAAATAAAATGAAAAGGATGTGCTAGGGATGATGTAGACAGTTACTGTACTCATCTCTGAATTGTGAGTGATTTAGAGGAGACAAAGAGTAGAACCAAGCTTATTCACTAACGTTAACGGCCTGCACAAAAGGTGGGAAAAAGTAACTAGTACGTGGTGCTAACTGTTATTCGGAAGCCCACATGTAACATCTGCTCAGATGTTATGCATGAAGTGGGGGATAATTGTATATCCTTTTATTCTCCATATGAAAAAATCTATTTAACTCATGTTTTTTTACCCATACTTGAAATTAATTGAGCTTTTCTTTATTGTTAACCACCCTGCTAGTAATAGAGCCAATGGGAAGCTGGGTCAGGTATGTGAATCTGGAAATGTAATTTGGCAGCAGAGCTGTGGGATGGGTTCAATGCAACCGACATTCAGTATCTGATCAATAACTTAACTCACTGAATACTAGCTAGAGAACTTGCACCAGTTATCTCACCTCCAAAAAAAAAAAAGAAAGGACCAATTGTAAAGGCTGAGAGGCAAGGGGAGAGGCTACTGCTTACAATTTTGACTCATCTAGAAAAAATGAAATAGTTCAAGGAATAAACAGAACACCTTAAAGAAACATGGTACTTACTACAGGAGAAGATAGGACAACAACCATCCTCGGATATAGCAACCACTGGTTGGAAGCCTAAGTCACATGCTGTTTTGTTGATAATGCAGGTTTTTATATCGCATTCTGCAATAGACAACACAGATAAAGTAAGCCAAGGCATCCTGTCCAGCAGTGTTACTTGCAGACCGAAGCTTGAACACCCCAGAAATTGGGTAGAAATAGATGATTCTTGAACCACACATTTTTTGAGTTTGGGACATGTTCAGGTGAAGTATCTCTAAGCTTCCTCTACTGTAAAGTTCTTCCCTGGACGTGTACTTCAGGCCCTTGCTCCTGCTTCTCTTCCCCCAGTCGTTGTCACCTCTAAAAAAACTAAACACCCTTTCTCAGAGAAACAAGTTGGAGTAAAGGCAAATGAGTCAGAGTGTGAAAAAAATGAAGAGTGGATGAGAGCCAAAGATGTAAAGGTGGGGACATACAAGGCAAAGCACCCTGACAGTGCCCACTGCTCCCTCAAGGCATCAAAGGACCTTAATGGACCACTGTCTGGCAGCATGAAGGGACGAGGAACAGAAAAATGTCCCACCACCATGCCAGGATGCCCTGTCCTATAGGTGCTGAGAATGGCCAGGCTTAGGAGCAGGCTGATGAGGAGGTCCTGTGCTGTGGTGGGCATTTGGGACTGGGAGGATGCAAAGGGAAAGGTGAGGGCAAACACATATCAAGAACCTCCACGGGAGGTTTTGGGGGATCCTGGAAGATGAGCACACCCTTGCTTACTGGATGGGTCTCTGTGCAAGGATCACCCTCTCATATCAGAAGGGAGAAGAGCCAGAGGATCCTATGAAGCGCCTGGTGGTCCCAATGGTCCATGGGGGATTTTCCAATGTAAGTATCTGGCAGGTCATGGCACTAGTTTAGAATACAAGCTGGACCAGAGGAGGTCTCTTCTGATAGCAAGAGCTCCTGGCATATAGATGGAAAAAATGACCACCTCAGTGTGTTTATTTGAATCTGGTACCTGCGGGGTACCAGATCGCACTTGAGGATTGCCTCTAAAGACAAATGATGCCACATTATGACATCTGAATTATCTACTCACCACAGACTGTCTCTGTACAGCATGGGTCATCCAGACGTGTTTTTATTGTGTGTACAAAACCCTCTTTAGTGCAGTTGATAGGTGGAGATTTAGCACAAGGCCGGGGGAAGCAAGAGATATTCAAGGTCACTTCATTGCAAGCGCAGTATTGACAGTCATGCTCCCAAGCCTCTCTAGGCTGTGAAAACAATAGGGATAGCAGTTCAGAGAGCAAAAACTAGAAGCATTATATTAATGAATGCCTGCTGCAAGACAGTGTATGGCTGGGTTTCCCTGATTTATTACATAGGAAAATCAGAGTTCAAATCCCAGAGAGGGGAGAAGGGAACAGTAAGAAAAGATGCTATTATCTGCCACCTTCCTTTGCAGGTTTACGTGCTCCCGGAAGGGAAACCTGGTAGTTCTACCATGAAACAGTGATTCCCACAAACTGCTATTTCTGCTTCTGTACCTCAAGTGATTAATAAAGTTCTGGAGTTAAAATTTGCTGTTTTTTTCCTCACTGTCATTGCAGTTCACTAGTATTTAAGTTTAGAATTAAAAGAAGAAACTTATAGTCATTTTTACAGGAGGTCACAACGCCCACCTATAGTATAAAGACAGTATTTTCCTTTTTCTTACCTGTTTTACTGACCCATCTTGTGCAGTGCAACCTATAAAATGAATTACAGATTCCTTTAATGACAACTGAACTGGAGAAAACAGCAGAAACAGGAAGACAGGAGTAGAAGGAAGGTCTTGAAATCTGAGAAACAGACACAAAGAGAGATCATAGAATGCTTTGGGTTGGAAGGGACCTTGAGAGATCATCGATCCCAACCCCCCTGCAGTGAGCAGGGATTGAACCTGTGAACTTGGCATTATTAGCACCATGCTCTAACCAACTGAGCTAACCCCACTGGTCCAGAGTGCAAAGTCACAGGTTGTGTACCCAAAACATCTTAAAGAGCCTCCTCTTTGTTCTTTTGAAAGCTGCATTTTCTGCATAAAAGCAGGCAGAAATTGCCAATCCAAAATGTTTCCAGCCTAACTAGAAAGGGTCAGTATCAAGGTCTTCCCCATTTCCTCTGTATCCAGAACGTCCCCCTTAATGTGCACTTCCAGTCAGGCTCTTATCCCCGGCTCCCATCCCACCAGTTACATTATTTCTTACCACAGACAGAAACACAAATGCCATCATGATCATTCAGTAGAATTTTTCCATCAGGACAGTAGCATCCCTCAACAAACACTGATGTGTTATTTTGGGAGGGGAGGGTGTCCATAGTGATTTGTCTGCACAATTAGAATATAAACAGGAATGAATGACAGGCAGAAATGTGCCCCAGGGCAGTCAGACACCTAAATCCCAGAGAAATGTGAACTTCTAGCCTTCCTTGGCAATTTTCATGTTTTGGACTTGAACAGTGCCTTAGGAAATGACCCACCTGCTGAAGCAAGTGTTTCTTTTTGCTTCCCCGCATGGCTTGTATACCTGATCCTGAAAACAGCTGGCATCTGTGGAGCATTACAATACACGGGTTAGAAAGCCCAGACCCGTGAGTACATTTCAGATCACAATGGATGAACCGCACACACTAACGCAGCCCACCCCACGGATCGGCAAAGCCCAGGCTCCTGCCCAGCGAGGGGGGGCCTGCAGCTTCAGCAAGAGAGTATCAATGGACACAGCAAGGTGCTTGTGACAGTACTAGTAGTGCTTACCCCTGAATCACTGGGTCCCCCTGAGCAAGCAAAGCATGCAGAGAGAAGCTGTGTGTTGCCATCTAGCGATGAAGTGCTAGGTAACACATAGGGCTCCTCAGCTGCGCTGCTCAGGAGAGACTATGGGCCTGTTTCCCACTTGTTTTGCACCAGTTCTGGACTGGAACAACCTTTTTGATTTGTTCCTTCTTTTTGTTAGGTCCAGAGCAGCTCAGGACAGATTGAAGCCTGATGATGTGGAGGAACACAAACAGGTGTGTAGGTGAGGAAAGAACAGACCAGAGTCACTTCAGCACCAGCAGGTCTTTCCCAGGCTTACCACACTGCCCGTTCGCCTGCCTCCTCCAGTCTACACAGATCCCGTGAAGCCCGCACAAGGCTGCGTACGTCTGCATGCTCTGGCACCTAGTGCTGGGGTGCCGTTCTGAGCACCCGCTGGCCACACATGCCTCATAGTAGGGCTGTGGGGGGACCACGCCGTGGCACTCGGTCAAGTTCCTTTGCAAAGCAAGGAGACAGACATGGCATTTCACTTCTTTGGGCTACTTCCAAGGAAGAATTCAACTCAGAACCAAACCCATCCCAAGAGGAAGTCTTAAGGTAAAGATAAAACTACAAATTGCTCTGACAGGCAATACACCCACACATCTTAATTAAGAATGAGCTTTACCTCCTATTCTTTACAATGGTTTCAAAGGAAGTAATTTTATGCTTGGACTGCTACCTGCAAAGAAAAGTCTCCTGCACAGCTCATAGCTATAATCGATATGCTGACATTTTTATGTCAGCATGTTTGACAATCCTGTTTTAAACGACAAAATTATTTTAAAATCAGTCATACACATCTGTTTACTACATTCTGACTGTATTCCTTTTCATCCAGAGCTTTCAGATACTGGATTATAGCTAGCTCCTTGTTGGCTTCTCCAGAACTGACAGGCAGAGGGAGTGCCAAGCAGCAGACACTATTAAGAGAGGACTGGTTTTGATGATGCAGCTGAAAAATATCTATCAAGCTCAGGAACATTCACGTATCAGTTCACTGGTCAGTTTTTCAAGGTATGCTAGACTTCATATTTTCATCATATCCTATAAGCAGTTCACCCAAGTCATGTAGTGAAGCACAAAATTATCTTGTGGACTTATTTTTCTAGCACTTTGGTAATTGTCTTACCAGATTATTTTACACAGATTGGCAGGCTCACAGTGCTGATCATATTCAATCTCAGCTGGTTCTGAGACACCTGGATTACAGTGTCTGTTGGTAGGATCTGGGACTTTCCAGTCTAATGCCATCTCTTTGAAGGACTTGATAACCTCACCATTCCTCTTCATAGCATCATCAGACTTCTGGTTGGTGCAGGTACCTGGTAGCAATATAAAAGCGCAGTGCTGATGAAGCTGCTTTTAGAGAAAACCTCGAGGGATGTTCTCCTTGTGGGAAGGTAACAACATGTGGGGTCTTCGATGAGTTCACAAGAACTATTTGTAGGAAGAGAAGGCTAGAAGAAATAGTTTACCAGTTACTCATGAAAACCAGAGTTGATGTGTTGTTGATGCATTTCTCCTGGTGGCTAAAGCAACTGAGATGGCTCTGTCTAGCACAGGACTCTCCAGATTTCATACATTCACATATTGAGTAGATATGATCAACAGGAAGGGCTCAGAAAGAGCCATCTACCAAAAGACTGTGAACAGAATGAAAGCAAGTGACTTAAAACTCCATCTTCTGACAGTGTCTTTCCACCAAATTGAGATAAATTTGTTAAAATTTGTGAGAAATAGAAATCAGTGGAGTTGCAAGCATTTAGAGATGTTTACAAGGGGACAAGAGAAAGAAGGAGGAAAATTTATTGTATTCATTACTGTCAGCTGATGAGGGCACTCACCACACAGTCCCATGGTATTGTTATAAAACTTTCCAAAAGGGAGTTTTACGTAAAATGCAAGTCGACTGTAGGAGACATAAACTTCTAATTCAGGTATTTCAACTATGACGTAAAGGCCAGAACTGGTTATCCTGATACCATTCTTGGAAATGTCTGGAACAACTTTCTTATCATTAAACAAAATCTAAAAAGAAGAGAAACAAAAGGTCTTTATGGACATCCTTCTGTTGAGTAAGGTATACAGTTTGTGCAACTGGAAAGCAGAGCAGCAAAAATTCAGACCTCAGGTGTACCGCATGAAATCTGTCAAAGGCAGCTATTTAAGCAGTCCTCTATGATTCCTTTTTAATAGGTTGCAATTTATATTTGAATAGTCATGTCAGGAAGAAAAACACAGCTTTCAATTATGTGATCATTTCCCAAGTTTTCAGAATATACAAATTTTTGTTGACGCAAAGGAAAAAAGAGAGAGAGAATGTAATTGCATTTCCTACCCATTCCATTTTTGACAAGCTTCATCCCTTGTCATGACAAGATGTTTGGCAGTACAGTAATATAACTACAGCAAAATAATACTGAGAATTCATTTTAACACAATACTCTACCAGGTTTGTTTCTTTTCCATGTTCCATTGCTTGCGTCAGAATAACAACAGAGTTGGAGTGAAAAATGAGAAGGGACATTGAACAAATTGCTCCATCAATGGCACCACAGTAGTAGTTGTCTATGTGAATCCAGAAGCTGTGAGAGTCAGGATGAATTGACTTCACGAGGACATAGGTGCAGTTTTCTTTAAAATGATAATATGTTCCATCAAAAGTCACATAATGCTCATTTCCCCATCCACTGCAAATACCTGGAAGACAGAGTGACAGACTTCAAGTTTGGCTTCTGAGCTTCCTGTAAGTACAAGCTGGTTTTAACTCTTTTACTCGCTTTCAGTGAGAGCTGAAATAACCAGTTTGATAAAGAAAAATTAGCTCTGCAGGGACACTCTTATCTGCTCTTAACAGCCCATGTTTTAGATGGGACTTCTCTTCCATTACATCCTACTGAATTAATATGAGCATAATATAGATGTTGACCACATAGACGTATTTTTCTTGAGGCCCAACTGAACATGACATAAATTTCAGGAATTCTCCTGCCGCAGTACTTACACTGACACTCAAAGAGTTCACAGCAACCAGTTTCATCGTAGCGTTTCATGAATGGGAAACCATTGACACAGAGTTTCAGTTGCTGAGGAGGGCAAGTCATGCTGGATAGTTTAATACTGTTTCCTTCTCCCAGGCAAGTGGCAATCTGGCAGTTTCCAAAGTTCCATGTTTCATTAAACTATTGACAGATTGAAAAAGAAGAGAGGCACATAACAAAGTAATGTAACAAAATCTTTAAATAAACACACACAGCAACTATGCTCCATTCAGTTAATTGTCTAGCATGGCATTATTTGCTATCTACTCTTTCTCTGGAAACTGGCCAATACGAAACATATAGCAATCAACAGAGCCTTGATACCTACTTCTGTTTTACAACATTTTGTATAGGACTCAATATTAAGGTCCTGACCACTTCTGATGATGGAACACTGCCAGATGTGGTTTCCTAGCTTTTTTTCAGTAGGTAGCTCTGCCCACATACGATCATTCAGATGTTTCATGTGAACAGAATAATCTTCAACTTATTCCCCCAATTATTTGGGGACTTCTGGTGTACTTCTAAATCATCTAATTCAGCCACACCTACAGTCCAGCTGTAGTGGTGGTTACTAGCATCAGAGGAGATCACCAAATCTTGGTTACAGGCAATACTGTAGCTGAAGGAACACATCTTCTTTCCAGTCTCTCACCTTTCTGGGAGGAATAAGCCCAAGACAATCGCTCACAGGAGTCCCTGTGGAGGCAGTAATGCGGCTTGTTGCACTAGGAGCAGACGTTGGTGGACAGGCTTCAGAGTCTGGATCACAGATCTTGAGGGCCTCAGTATGACCAGTCTTACACTCTGCCCAAATTAATTCAATCTGACATGATGCATTGCAAATGGAGTAAGCACAATGACCTGATACATTCACTGGCAAAGAAACATTTTCTCCTGCAAAGCCAAAACCCAACTGTTAGTGCTGGACTGTGCAAGAAACTGGTGACTCTCAAGGCCTATGAATCACAGATTGGCCACATATTCAGCCTTGCATTTAACTGGCTGGGTCTGCGTGTACCTAATGGCCATATTCAGGTGTGACTGCCTGTCTGCAGCTCCTTGAATTCAATACTGAACTGGAGCTCAATTCATCCAAATGGCAAAGGCTGAGGGAGGGTCACAGGCAGCTAATCTGAAATTCTGCTCTTAAGTACATTAGGGGGAATTGCAAAGTACATTGGCGGGAATTGAAAATGAGTGTAAGAGGAGAAAATACTGAATACATCACTGAGTGCATCTGGTCTTCACAAAGACCAGGACATAGGTGGTTCAGGAGCTACTAAGAGATGAAGAAGAGTCTTCCTTCCTCTTTTTTTGAGATATGACTGTGGATTACAAGCCCATGTTCAGCAGTTTGGGATTCAGGTTTTGTGCTGGAGTCCACTGAAGTTAGCATCTGGTATAAGCTTCCTTACACCAGGGATACCCAAACCAGGAAAAAGTTATAGGATATGGGAGAGTTGTAGTTCTGAAGGTGTAGTTACAGTTCAAAGACGTAACAGCTTGTGGTAATGTGTAACTGCAGCAGGCTGGATGAGCGCTTGCTGAAGCAGCTTTATCTAACAGTACCTCTTCCAACATCAATGGTGCAGAAAAAATATTTGCTTGGTTTCTCACCCATTTGTATCAATTGTCCATTGTCATTGCAGAAGCAAGGAGTGGCTACTGTTGACAATGGAGGTGCAGTTGTTACAGGTTCCATACGTAGTTCTGCAGAAAATGAAATCAATTAATATTCAAATCCTCTGCTACTCTACTTTAAAGCCCTATGGCATCTATTACATTCTCTACAATCACAAAAAGAGGAAAAAATATTTTTTATACCCCTACCACATTCTGTACATGTACACACTAAACCCATCGTTTCTATTTATATACACTCTCTATTACACTGTATGCTACTAGAATAATACACACACACTTCCCCTTGTAGTTAGTTTCTTTTTATATAGAATACAATAAACCACCCTTCTGCTGTCACTTATTCATTCCAATTTAAGGTTTCTTTGACATTTCTAATGCCGCAGGACTTCACCTGACTTTGGAGAGGTGATTTCCAGTGGCATTCCATTTTGCCTTTTAATGTCTTGTGAAGAATCTGTGGGTGTAAATACAGACAGGTCATTTAGACATTTTACTATGCCACCTACATTCTGCTTTCAATACTCTTTCCTTTCCTAGCTATTTCTCCATTATACTTCTTATTCCACTTGTTAACACATTTAGTAAATGCCAAACACATGGGCTCACCATCAAGTCTTTAGCTCTTCCACTCACTTGAGTAGAGAAGATAACTTTTAATTTTCCTTGTCCCCTTTCTATAATTTGCTACCAGGATAATACACATTTTTTTAGCCACTTATTTTTCTTTGCCATAATCATGTAGCAGAATTCCACCTTTTCTTTATTTCTTTTTACTTCCTATTTTTCTGTGCATTCACATCCTCTTTACCCTGCAACTTCTCTTTTGGGAAGGGAGTAAACCACCAGGCAGTTTTATTTTCTTGTTCCAGTGACCCATTTGAGACTGACTTATTCCAATGCAGAAAACAGTACAATAAGAACCATAGTGTGATATAGGTGATGAGAAGGAGAAAAACAAGGTTTAGAAGTATGAAATATTGAGCCTAACACCACCAGAGTGTCAACTGCAGTATGCCCAAGGTTATTGTAAAAACTACACTGAAAAATGGTTCAACATCTCTATTATCTCTTTACCCCATTGACAGTAAGAATCTATAAAAATTACACTTTTGGTCCCCACCATGAGACCCACAAGCACTGTCCCCTCATTCCTGAACCTTCAACTTCCTAGACATGCAGTAGGAGTCTTTTTCCAAGATGGAGGAATCTTATTACCGTTACAGACTTTCATAAAATCACCACCAAGCCTCTTATAAATCTAGTACCTTGTGCTGGTGTGGATGGTGTTCTGCAAGGGATAAGTGTTTTAATGATCTCTCCATTAGGGCCGCAGATAGCATCACCGCACTTGGTCCCATATACTTGGCTGTATACAGTTTCATTTAAGGTGTAGGTCTTTCCATTGTAGCAGCAAAGGCAATCTGAGGCACGAAAAGACCAAGTGCCATGGTAACAGGGGACACTTGTAATAAAATACAAATGAAAAGAAAACCAAACTCTGGATTTACCCTTCTGCGTTCATATCATCAAACGTGAATTACCTGGCTGAAAATCTTTCTCAGTTTCTACTTGAGAAGATGCACTGGGAATCTACCTCATTTATTTAAAGTGGGTTGGATTTTTGTTATTGCAGGTGTTTATTGGTGTCATCTTGCACAGAGGAATTACTGGCTGGTGAAAGCATCAGAACTGGCACTCTCCTCACCAAGCATGGAGCACAAGTGCATTCCCTCTTGGCAGGGAAAGTGATGGGGATTACTGCCTTGCTGAGTGATAAAACACTAGCTCAGAAAGTGTTGCCCAGCCATTTCCATCCACTAATGAGGAACACGCAGTGATAAACAATTTCATTCAAATATGTGAGAAGCTCTCCAGGTTTTGGAGAATGTACATTCAGGAACCCAGGGAAATGTATCTGTTACTGTAACAAAATCAGCAAATCTGAAGATGTGTTGTCTACTGGGTCACCCTGCATTTTGAGATGTGGTTTCTCCCAGATAGGGGTATGAACTCATATCATACCTTAACCAAGTATGTCCTTTAGGCACACAAACATGTCTTTCATAAGCTAGTAGTCTAGTCCTACTATGAAATTAGTGGATAGGAAATAGCATCTCTACAAGATTTGCCCTGTTCTAAAAATGATCATTAAAACAGGTACCATGAATGGCCTGCTTCAGACTACTTTCTGTCTGTCTTCACTGACTACCAAGGAAATGTAAACATGGAGAAGTGGCACTTAACTGGGTGAGATGAATCCCACATTTCACATCTCTCTCCTTCCTCCCTAAGATTATGCTTTAGACAGTTCTTCAGGTCAAAGGCTGTGTTTTGCTTATCAAAGTATATCTGTACTGCTGTGCATCCACCTATTGAACTAGCTAGCCGGAGTCCTATTACCAATACACCTGCAGTAACATGTGATGTTGGGTTGTTTCAGTGCTACCATCATTCAATAAATGGTGAGGGTGATGAAAAGTTACCTTTGGAGTCTTCAGTACATAGTTTCTCCTCAGGATCGCTGATGATAAAAAGAAAAGGAGAAGACTTGTTTTATTGACTTGAATCAGTATGTACAATAACAATGTCCGCAATGGTATCTTCTTTTATGTAAAAGCCTACCCCTGGAGGATTTAATGATAATTGTCACTGCCTATGAATATAAACCAAACATTGCCTAGCTTGTTCTTTCCAGTCCTATTCTACCTCTCTCACCATCAACTGACCTACCATGAAGTGCAGTTGGGAAGGGAGACACACTCCCTGCTCTCCTCATCAAAATATGGCTTGTCAGGACTACACTCTGGGTAACAGCCTGGAAAGTTAAAATAAACAAAGTATTCTTAATCTGCTTTACATCTATACAGGAAAAACACATAAATATCTCTATCAGATGCAGATTTGATCCCAACATGAATGTGATCCCAGCATGAATGTTCTTTATGCTACCATTTTTTTTTCCATGTCCTCATTTTCCCTCTCTCCCAAAAGTTTTAATTAACTCTGTTCATCAACAGACAATCATTCTTTGCAAACTTAGACTGAATGACCTTTCATCTCTCCCCAGATTTAAAGGTAACAGGCAAATTCTGCTATGAATGGCACAATCACACAGGGATTTAGCCCAGGCGAGGCATGGTCAATGAGTTTCTGAGGCAAATGGGATAGCCTTTCAGCAACCTTGATGCTTAAGACATTTAAAACCAGACTAACAGCTTCAACTCCCATAAACTTCATCGAAGTCAAGCAGGAATTACCTTCTAAACTGTACAGCAAGTTCCCACATCTCCCTTGTGGGTTCCTACAGGTCTTTAGACAAGGGGCTCCACAGGGTTTATAGAACCACTCATGTTTGTCAGGTGGATTGTAATAATCGCAGAACACAGCTGGAAGAGAAAAATACAAAACCTCCAAGTATCAGACACTAGGCAGGGGTTATTTTCTAAATATTGTAAACAAGAGCTTGTTAACTCATGCATGCACAGCAATGTCAGAATTCTGCTCTTAATCTCCCATGTGCCTGAGTGCATGGAGCACTGCTTTTCTGTGTGCATTTTCAGTGCAATACTTACGGCAAATGGCGGGCGTTCTCCAGTCGATACAGACACCAGCTCTGCTACAGCTTCTTGAATAAGCAGCAACTGAGGTACAGAAGCACTCACAGTCTCCCACACTGTCACAGCCACAGAAGTCAGAAATACAAGACTCATAATATGGTATTGGGTTCACCTATCAAAATACCAACAGATCTGTTACCACAGATGTACCTGCTGCACTGTGTTCTAATGAGAGAAAGGGCTCTAAATTTCTGCCATCCACTGGCAGTTTCTTTGGCGGACCCAGGCTGAATCTGTGACAGACTGGGATTGTCATGAAGGAGCTATGATATTTTACAACAGGTATTTTTCTATTTTCACCTGTCTGGTAGAATTGGACTCTAAATCTTCTCATTCTCATGTGTGTAATACCGGCATTTACGTTCAAAATGTCTTTCCAGTGTGATTTCTGCAGGACTGCACTAGCCTGCTTTGGGTTAGCACAATTATATAGTGTGTGTGCTCTCTAACTGAGAGATAGTGATTAAGTGAGTATAAAAGGAAATACTGTTTCCACTGAACTTCACGTCTCTTGTGTTTTAACCTGTGCCAACATGAACTAACCAAGGAAATTAAGCCAAGTTTACTTTTAAAATGGCTTATTAAACTGCACTGAAACTTTGTATAGACATTCTCATCAAGGATTGGTAACCTTTTTCTGTTTAGATTAATTCAATTTGTGTCTAAAATAAACCAAATAATTAATCTGTTTAGGTAATTTGAATAAACTTCCCCAAGGATCCCCATAGAAACAGTCCTACGCTAACTTATCTCTAGATTTTACAAACTAGTACCTAACTTTTTACTTCTAATGGCCAACTATTATCCTCTTTGTCTTCAGTTGCTCAAAACAGGCACTGTTGTTTCCTTACTACTGTGCAACAGGATTCAACTGGCACAGCTGTAAAGTGAAGTTTTAAGAGAGGTAGCCCTTGTACTCGAGGATACTGTGTAATAGCCTTTAATAGTAAAAATTTGTGTGCAAATGTGCTGCATAATAGCAACAAATACCTAGTGTGAAACTACAGATGATGACAGAACAGGATTACCTTACTGTGACAGGCTTCAAAGATGTTACTCTTAATGATGCTGCAGTGCTTCTGTCCCAGGACAGACTTGAAAGGCTGATCAGCACACAGGTCTGTCATGTTTATATTTGAGCAGGTGCTTGTTATTTTCCAGCTGTTTCCAAACTCCTGGATGCTCATCTCCACGGACTGCCCTCTGGTTGTGAAGTCATTCCGTGAGCGGCCATCAAAGTCCCCACAAAGGCCACAGACTTTTCCCTGGGTAATTTGCGTAGGCACAGTAAATGGTTTGGTTATTTTGAGTGCAGTCCACTGTTTGACAGAAATAAACTATAGAAAAGGCCAAGGCAAAATAGCTGCAAATTTCTGAAGAGCCATCAAAACACGGCTTAGAAAAAGCTGGACTTCTAGTGACAAGATCACTCTTAGCCCTCCAATACTGCAAAGTGTCTGGCTTTACTTCTAGCTCCAAATGTCCTGGATTGTTTCATACTGACTGAACAATGAAAGAAAACACAAGTCATGGCCTGTTTGCTTCTTCTTGCCACTGAACCGAACACTTCTCCAAGCCCTGCTTTTCAAACTGGATTAATAACTTTGAGTTTGAAATGATAATTCTTAGTCCATCCCATACCTACCTGGAAAGATGGTGCCACGTGGACAACAACAGTAGTCTTCTGGTCCCACATGAAGTTCATCCCTTGATTTGTTTCAATCACAATATAACCTCCTCTGAGATCCACTTTGTAATTCTTCTCAGCTCCTGGATCAGTTGCTATCTCCTGAATTCTTCCTTCCAAGAGCCTGATTTCACTGCTCTACAAGGAACAGATACATTGCATGGGAGGAAATCAAATGGAAAACTTAGTGTAACAGCACTGGTATTCTGCCTCTTGTCCTTCATCTTATTTTTCTGCAGTCTTTACACTATGTCTTGGTCTACCACCAGACGTGAGCCACAGACAAGACTTACTGAGTTCAATGGGAAACATCTGCCCTTGCATGACAAGTCTTACCTCACAGCCACAGAAATTGTCCACATTCTAGGTGAAATCAGTTCTGCTGGCACAGCAGCTCCTGGAAATTGGGCATGCCAGAACACCCCTTGTCACACTGCTTTGTTTCACCATCCCCTCACCCCCAACTATGGGAGAAATCTCATTTGTGTACACTTTGGGGAAATGCTAAGCCTGAGCTGGAGGGAAGAAACTCTTCCCTCTGTAGTTCCATCTGCTCTGTGCTCAAACCATGGTACAGAAACATGCTCCTCTAAAAACTTTACCATCACTCCTATACCACTAATGTCACAGACTCAAATACACACACACATACACATGCACATACATAGAATGCTGTTGACTCCCTGCATTTATCCCCTCACCCGCAGAAGTGTCCAGTCCTGTTAACACCAAATACTTAAACCTTTCCCAGCTTGCGTGCCTCTGCTTTCTGGTTGGTTGACTTCCACAGGTACTCTCTAGCAGCAACAGAGTTGGAATATAAGAGGATACTACACTAACTGCTACAAAGTGAAGACTACAGCTCCTCAGTTATAACCAGTTCTAGACAAACCTCAAAAATCAGTGTGATCTTTAGGGAGCAGATGGAGAGTGACTTCCCACAGGCGTTGTTCTGAATTACAATTCGGAATGTGCCAGCATCCATGTTATTAGGGCAAAAATCCTTAGAAAAATAGATAATGTTGTATTAGAACTTTTCAGGCAGCTAGACCAGTCTTAAACATTTTCAGGAGCTCTAAATGAATGACACTCCAATCTGACTTCTGCTATTTTGTCACTTTTTTGTCACCAAAACTATGGGCATTTTAGAAGGATCTGGTGGCAGCTGACCTGATGGCAGGTTCATACTTGACCAGGAATTTCAAAGAGAAAAGCTAAGGAAAAAACTGACCTTTTCACAGCTCCAGTCCTGCACAGCCAAAAAGGTAAAAACATTTTTTCTTAAAATTAGCAAAACCAACTGTAATTTGAGGATGACAAAATGTCTCACTGAGTACTGTCTCATTACATGTAATTATACGTGAGGCTCACATGTTAACCTCTACATGCTTCTGTCACAAAAAAATACTGTGAGTCTTGGATGGCCGAGAGAAACACTTAGCTTTTCAATACCACACCAATTCCTTTCCCTTGCAGATGCTGGAATTACATCAGGAAAGGGCTGTCCAGCCCAGGAGTTAATCGTTTAGGATGACACAGTGCCCTCTTGTGTCACTTCTGAGGGTTAATTGCTTTGCTTTTATATGGAAAATCTCAATGTATCTGCTCTAGGTACAAGAGAAGGGGAGTAGGCTCTGCTCATCAGTGTTGACTCTTTTGCATGGGCTAGCCCTTTAATTACTCAGACTGAACCCTGCAGTGTAAGCTGTGAAAAGCATATGAATAGGAAAGAGAAAACAATTGATACCTGAGCTAGGATATAGTCACAGTCTCCCAGGAAATCAAACTTCTCCCCATCAAAGCTCATGTAATGCCCATTTCCATACACAGTGCAGGTTCCCTTGCAGGGATTGTCTGTGCAGTTCCACTGCCTTTTGTTACAGGTGCTGGGAGGCAAAATGCAAAGAATTATAATCTTTGTATGAGGTGTGTTTTTTCCTTAACCCCAAACAGGGACAGAGTGATTGAAAGGTTTGTCTTTTGCAGTACTTCAAAGAAAGCAATCATCTCTCACTCTTCCAGGCTTACCCTCTCAACTGTTCTGAGATCATGCCATAAGATAGCTTACTAATCAGAAAGCTCATGTTTACTACCAAGACACATTTGAACTTTGTCTATTTTTATTCTATTATTTCCTTCAAATATATTTTAAACCATTAAGCCCTGGGAGCAGACAGTGGGGATTTAGGAGGTAAATTCAAGGTGGAGAACTGAATATTTCAACCATTTCTGAATATTACTCTGTCACATACCATGTAGTCAGTTCTGTTCCTGACTGTAAAGTGGTGTAAACCAGTATTATCCCTGTCTTCCCTTGTGTACTGGGTCTGGCTGAGACGGAGTTATTTTCCCCATAGCAGCCCTCATAGTGCTGTGCTTTGTATTGGTAGCTAGAAAGGTGTTGATAACACCCCAGTGTTTTGGCTACTGCTGAGCAGTGATAGCACAGCATTGATGCTGTCTCTCCATTTTCCCCCCTCACCAGTAGGCTGGGGGTGGGCAAGATCTTGGGAGGGGACATAGCCAGGACAGCTGATCCAAACTGACCACAGGGATTTTCCATACCATATGATGCCTGCTCAGCAATAAAAGTTAAAAGAAAGGGGGGGTGGGGGGGGGGGCATTCGTTATTATGATGTTCATCTTCCGGAGCAATGACTACAGGTACTGAAGCCCTACTTCCAGGGAAGTGGCTGGACATCACCTGCTGATGGGAAGCAGAGAATAAATCTTTTTTTTTTCCTTTGTTTCCCCACACGGTGTTTGCTTTTGCTTTAAGAAACTGCCTTTATCTTGTATCTTGACCTATGAGTTATTTCTCCTATTTTCTCCCCTCCTCGTCCTGCTGAGAAAGAGAGTGATAGAGTGACTTGGTGGGTACCTGATGTCCAGTCAAGGTCAACCCACCACACCTTGACAAACTTTACCTCCAGTTCAGGGGGACCACAGACAGAAAATTTTAGTTGTAATACCCTTGACACAGAGACTGCAGGTTTCTTCCCATGTGTGTTCTGTTCTCATAAGAAAACAAAACCCTCACTGCAATAAAACCTCTTAATGGCCTCTGTGATATCAACAACTGCTTATCAGGGTTTGGCTTCACATGTTAAACTTGATTGCTTGTACCAGTGGTGATCAGACCAAAGTGTTACTGGCACTTATTTTCTGTGCATCCTCTTGGCAGGACTATACAGTTTCATCTTCACTAACTAATGGGTAAGGATTCAAAGCATTTTACCCACCATGAACAGTAACAACAGTGAAGTCTATGCCAGCGTCATACCAGCAATTGGAGCAACTAGAGCATTCATTTATCTTATTTGAGAACTATGCAACCAGAAGCACTGCAAGTCACTGGAAGATTGTTGTGATTCCTCCCTCCTCTAAATTCAATCCTTTTCTGGGGTTCAGTTGTGCCAAACAGACACAGACTCAATTCTCCCTTGTAGAATGACCAGCCACAGACCAACCTGGATGAGGCTGGTACTTCTAAACCTGGTGTTGAAGCAGTTTCCAGACAAGGGTGGAAATTGTTTGACAGAAGATCTTGGTACTTGTTCTCCCCAACTGCAGGCTCGTGCAGCATGTTGCAGAGAGGAAATGTTTCCCCTCTTATTTTTACTAGAAGCTCTAATGGCTCTAATGATGAAGAGAAAGGCTTCAAAATACATCCTGCCCCATGGGCACACTATGCAGTGATAATTTTAACAGCCTTTGTTACAGAACAAGGCTCCCTGGAATAACATACCATGTGTTGCAGTCCACTTTGATGGTTTCCCCAGGTTTATAAAAGTGTCCTCCATGGACACATGGGCATTGGTCTTTGGGAATACATCCTCCACTGCCATCCAATACCAGCCCATCGGGACACATGCAGCCAGAAACACATTCTGTGATATACTGTGTATATAAAGATACAACACAACGCAACTCATTAATGCACAGGAAGTACAGGGAACCAGCAAAGGTGCTAGCTCTGGATGCCAAACTTTTGGATTTTTTTTTTTTTAAATCCTGTAACTGTAAGTTAGTGGCAATCAAACTACAAGTATCACAGCTATGTGATACTACAGCTATACACAGCTATAGCTGCTGTGTTAACAGTAAAGTAGTTGGTCTGTGAACAGCATAACATGTTACCGTCAGCATTTGTTAAGGACAATCATACATGCACAATCATGTTGTCCCATGCTCCTGCTAGGAGGTGAAGTCCTTACACAGTGCATATCCTGCGTCTTACAACTTTTCTGACACTCTGATCCAATTGCACCAGGACCCGCAGAGCTGCAGTTGAAGTAATACATAGGAGCTGGGCAATCTAGAGGAGGAAGAAAACATTTTAGGAAGGTAATTTAATGAAAGCAATATGGATGCTGTCAGCAATTGTAAAACAGAGCAGAGGATTTCAGAGGGCAGCATGTGTCTCTTATTTACAGTTTCTATTAGCTTTTGCTTCTGCCCACCAACAGTGCAGGGAGAAGGAAGCAGATAACTGCTAAGCTTTGGGAAATATCTTCATCTTTTAAAGAACTCAGCAAGTCTGGTGACATTTTTACAAAGACAACTATTATCAATAACCAGCACATTTCAGGGAGAAGTAAAAAATGTGCAGAATACTAAAATCTTACAGAAAGTGAGAGATAACACAGAAAAATACTATAAATACTAGCTGACACCATAATGCCAATATTTAACAAAATCTCACCTTTTACAAGGACAGTTTCTCCAATGCAGTCTAATCTTCCTTGAATGCATTTGCTAAAGAGATTCCATAAAATGAAACACATCAGCTCTTTGCACGTTTCTCTCTCACTAGAGAGAAAGGCACTGCAAAGCTTCACTAGTCATACAAATAAAAAATTCCTATCAAAATGAATATTTGGCACAGCTATCAGGTTCACAGACATGGATTACCATCCCCAGAAGGAACATTAAGACACCCAGCTCTTAAATACTCTTTCTTCATCTGCCACTGGTTTACTGTGTGGTTTCCCTAAATCAAGTTTTTCCTAAGCATCTATTTTCCACTCTGTGAGATGAGACTAATACTTTCTTAAATAAGAGACCTCTTAAATTACTAAATGAATCTGTGTTTACAAAATAGTCTAGAATCCTCAGAAAAAAATATGGGAGCTGGAAGAGAGAGAAAGAGACAGAATATGTAGACATCTAAAGATACAAATAAATTGAATATAACAGCCTTCCTCTGGTATTTGTTTGCATTGCTGCCCTGAACTGCTTGAAAATGAGAAAATGAGAATTGTTTTTCACTGCAGGTGCAAATTGATTACGTTATTTTTAGTATTTTCCCCCAAATCTCTCTTTCTCTCTTTTCCCCTTTAAAAAACTCAGTTTAAAAACTGAGATTTTAGGGTTTTTCCCTGGACCACTTTCATTTTTCAAATAGTCTGCAGATGATGTGTTGGAGGGTGTTTTTTAGTTTATTTTTTCATTTCAAAGCCAGAAACTCCCCCAAGCCCTCTGTCTTCTAGAAAATTTGCTCCCACTGTATATCGATATTTTTTACACAACAATGAACTTTGCATAGAGAAAGATTGCAAACATTACTGTACTTAACATGTTTTCAGGTTCTTGTTTGCTAGCAGGAATATAGGATCTTAACCTTTGCTGTGGCTGCACTTCCTGCCAGGGGAATATTTGCTTTGGTACAGTCTAGGAGAAATTTGTCATTATTCCTTACGGTGAAATGACACCATTCAGGGATTAGAGCAGGGACTTCCCCAATGAGCCCTGACGTCCCCCAGGTATGCAGCCTTTGCATCATCAGAGCAGCTTACCACATCAATTTGTCCTCTTGGAAGGAGTTGCCAGGCTGAACAATCTTGCCTTTGTAGTAGCAGGGACAGTCCTCTGGAGTTACACATTCCTCCTCGTCATTGAGGTAGGTCCCTTCAGGGCAACCACAGCCCTCCATAGGAGTGATCTGAACTTTACACAGCGGATCAGGTTCATCCAGCGAGCGGCAGGACTGGTTACAGTACTTCACGCTATAGTTATAAACCATAGTCTCAGGACACTCCTCAGAGGGATCTTTGCAAGAGAAATAAAATGGATGTATGGCCTTCTCTGCAATCATCGCTCATGCTGTTAACGCAGCTTTCTGCATGTTGGTAGCCACAAATGTGCTTTTTTCAAACTAGAAGACCTTGTCTCCCAGTGGTGTGGGGGAAGTCTGCTCACATAGCCTAAACTGCGTGACACTGTATACTGGAATACTCAGCAGGGTATATCTTGACTGAATAAGGAAATCAGTGTAATTTTGTAATTTGTACTATTTACATTTCTGTCTTATGCCAAGAACTGAACCAGTAAGTTCTGACTTGTCCTTGTAGTTAAAAATTAATTTTCTTTCCTTTACTAATGATTTCTTTGTCTGGGAATAATTTAAGAAATGAGCATATTTTGTAAGGGGTAAATTTTGATGTTGAATAGGCAGTGCCAAGGGACTCTGCTAATCATTTGATGCTACCAAAGAAAGCATGTTTGAATTCTTATAGATGTCTTGAGGAAGACTCTTGTTGTCATCCTCTGGGGAAAGGAGAAACAACAGTTTCTAAGACCTCTGGGTGGAGCAAACAGTTAAATACCAAAATATAAAGGCTCAACTGACCCTGTGAGACAGTGAAAAGCTAGTTAATTTTCACAGGCTACCATGAAACATCACCTTCAAAACTCTGCCGTAAAATCTGCAGTATTGATCCATAAGGATGACATCAAATTTTGTCAGGAAATGTCACCTGCATTAAGGCTGTGGTTTTCAAGAAAGCCTGGTATCCAGATTCTTCTGAAATTCAATGAGAAATGGGGATCTAGTCATCTCGGACCTCTTTCTAACTCACAAGTGCAGATTTAACCCCACAGCTGTTTTTCAGATACATTTCTGAATATATTTGAATATATCTGAATACATTTCAGATACATTCTAGATGTACTAGAAGGTACAGGGGAGTTGTTCATGGGCAATTGTGCCAATCAACTTTGCAGCAATGTTATCACCATATCAGCAACAGGTTCCATGCTTAAACAAAGGTCTGTATGGTTTTCCAGTCCATGACCATAGTACAATTTCTTAGATTAGTTAGTGTGCTACGTTTGTGTACATGTTCAAAACAGCCACCTCCACCAACAAAAACCAGTTGGTTTCCTGGTCTTAGCTGGAGCAGACATAATATCCCGTGTATAAACTGGGCAAGTCATATTCTCCTACTTTACAGGCGTACTATGAAGATGCAGCAACTGGTATTTCTAAATCAAAATAGGCCAAATAAGAAGGATATTAATAAAGATGTTACATTAATAATAAACATTAATAAACATTAGTTTACGTCAGATTTCTGAGGCAACTTCTTTGCCTCAGTCTTCACCGGCAACCTCTCTCCTCACCCCTCCCGAATCGATGGGCCAAAAGATGGGGGCCAGGGGGCCAGGGGGGTAAAGCCCCTCCCACTGTAAGGGAAGA